AAAAGAAAGAGAGAAAGGAAGATTCATTCTCTGTTGTCCTCCACACGGGAGTAAGAGAGAGAGGAAAAGGTCTGGTGGTGGACTGGTGCAGCGTTCACAGCCATCACACTAAATATCTGCATCATCATTATGATACAAACTAATATGAAGTGATATTGACCTGAAGTTATCAATAACCAAAGGGTTGAACTGTGTGTGTGCGTGTGTGTGCGTGTGTGTGCGTGTGTGTGCGTGTGTGTGCATGTGTGTGCGTGTGTGCGTGTACGTGTGCGTGTGTGCGCATGCGTGTGCGTGTGTGCCTGTGTGCGTGTGTGTGTGTGTGTGTGTGTGTGTGTGTGTGTGTGTGTGTGTGTGTGTGTGTGTGTGTGTGTGTGTGTGTGTGTGTGTGTGTGTGTGTGTGTGTGTGTAAAAAGACAAATAAGTCACGATTAAGAGAAGGAAACAAGAATGGATGGTCTGAATGTAGAGTCCTGAGATGTGTCTTTGTGGCTTTAGATGAATGCCCTTCATCTGCTCCCATCCACCTGTCAGTCGTGTTATGAGTGAGAAGTGAATCAGTTACCAGCGTCTCTCCACAGTAACACGAGGGCATGAGCTGACAGGGGAGCAGAAAGAGGGAGAAAGGCTGACAGATGAGTAGAGTGAAGCTCAGAGCAGAGGGAGTGGCACAGAGAGGCAGGAGCAGCTCATGTGCGTTTGGAGGAAGAGATCAGAAATCCATAAGAATCAACTGAATGAGGAGAGCTGATCTGAAACCAGCGAGAAGACATAACGGGGGCAAAGCCCCTTTAAGATCCAGAGCCGCAGAGGCAGATAAAGGCAGAACGACAGGGTGACAAAATCGTGAAACAAAAAGCGGACTATTACTCGTTGTTTGGACAGGCTGGTTTCCACGGTGACAACATGGGTGCAGTGGTGGGCACTTTGACCATGCAAACCAAGCAGAGAAGACCATCCAGAGGTACGTCAACATCAGTCAGAGAGAGACGGAGAGAAGACAAAAGAGCAACAGAAAGCTAGACTAAACAGAGAGAGAGAAACCAGCTCAACAGGAAAGAAAGGAGACAGTCTGATTATAATTTGGACCAGTTGTAACTCATAATAAGTGTTTGTGTTTGTTATTTTCTGTGTTGCACATTTAACATCAGCAAGAACATGTATGTGTTTACCATATTTCTGTGGTGTGAAACATTGAACTAGGAAAGTGTAACCCATTTAACCAAATGGTACCAAACAGCATGTGAATGTGAATTGCATTAACCAACAGCAGTTTATATTTTTAAATAAAAATGTCGACATATACAGCACGTTCAAGCAAGTGGCAGCAGAATTGTGGGGGATGAAGCGACACGCGCTGCTGCTGAGGTGTGAGGAACAACACATGTACTGTGGTCATGATGGAGAGATTACAGTATACCATGGGGTCGGATGTCCTTGAAAACAACTAGAGAGCAAAATCACTGCCCCCCCACTCTATGATTATCTGTGTGTGTGTGTGTGTGTGTGTGTGTGTGTGTGTGTGTGTGTGCGTGCGCCTGTTGGATGTGTGAGTGAGTGAGCGAAAGAGAAGTGGGAAGCGAATGAGGGTTCAGGCGAGAGCATGTGAATTAACACGCAGCTCACATATCATACCTCCTTTGGCCGTATGCTTGAGAAGCCTGTTGTCATGGAGACTGGGTTGTAGGGGCATGAGAGGAGAGTGTGAATGTGATTCAACACTCAGCCAGGATGAATGATGAATTTACAGTATGGCTGCATGAGATAGAAATAAAATGGATGAAGCAGCAAGCGAAGCAATTACTCTCTGACACCTCACGGGATGAGGGTGACGCTCGGGGTTTGTTTTTACTCGTCCTGACAAAAAGCTTTTCAAAAGCTGTTGGGAAAAGAGAGCACAGGGGTCATCCTGTTTTTTCCATCAAGGTTTGTGTTTTGGTTCAAACTGTGGAGAGGTGACATGAGATGAGACAAGATAGAAGATTCCCAGGAGGGAAAATGAGTGTTACAGCAGCACAGGAAACAGGGCAGAGAGGTGTGTCAAAGCACGACACCAATACAAATAAGTCACACTATGATATTGTAGAGTAGTCATCTGCAGAACAATCCAAACCCCTGATATCTCTGGAGGATTTGCTCTTTGCCGCACAGCGGTGTATAGTGAGTGTTGAACTTCAAGAATCACAAGTTTGCAAAAAGGGGCAGAAAATAAAGTCGCTGCATGAGCGGAAGATTTTAAAGCAACAGCTGATTTTGTTCCACGACATAAATGCAAAGTAAAATCACTGTGAAAAAACCTTTCAGAATTAAAGGAATAGTTCAAATACCCTTACTTTCTGGATGAGAGTTAGATCTGAGGATCAACTTCTCTCTCAAGTCTGTACGACACGTATGATGCTACAGCCAGCAGCCATTAGCTTAGCAGAAGGTGGCTTTTAGCTACTGACTGTAACTTCATATTTATTGCATGGACATGAAAGTGATATCAATCAGCTTTTAAACTCAGAAGTTTAAAGAATGTAAGTGTGTACTTGTCTAAGGGCAAGTAGAACATGCAGAACATTTTGTATTAGTTTCAACTCTCAAACAAACCTGTGATGAAGAGAGTTGTGATGTAACGCTCCCACAAAGTTAACTTGGCTTCAGTATGTAACTCTTCCCTCCCAATACATCTGATCAATGTTTATGTGCAGAGCAGCTGCTGCATCATTTACATCTGCTGCCTATAAGCTTCAGCATCAAACACCTAATGGTTGCAGAGGGTCTGAATCTTGTGAGAGTAAATCTCTTTGTTTTAATCTGGTAATTATAGAATTATAGATTTTTTTTCATCAGTAAATTAAGTGTTGCAATTCCAGGTGGTTAAATGCCCAGAGGTTACTGGTAAACTCTAATTGTTAAATCAATATCCCCATTTTCTCATCATGCTTCTGAGATCAATAGCAACATGTTTGTCTTTTACTGAATCCCACTTTTTTTCTTTTTTTTATTTGCTTCAAACATATTGTGTAATCCTGTTGTGCCATATGTTGTTCTCTCCTTTTTTCTTCACGCTCCGCCACCTCCCTCTTTCTCTCGTCCCAGTTCTCCGTGTCTCACCCCTCCTCTGATCAACACCTCTGCCTGTTTCCTTTTCTCACCTTCATTTGACTTCATCTGTTTCTGACCACACAACACACACACACACACACACACACACACACACACACACACACACACACACACACACACACACACACAGCATGAAACCTTTTTATTCACAGGGAAAATAAAATTGTTTGACACCCTTTTTTTTTGTCAGGTTCACCCTGTGCACCCACCGCTGTCCACATTTATCGTAGCTGTCTATCTCCATGACAACAGCAGTCAGGGAGATCGCAACAGGAGCTCAGAGGAAGATGGAGGAAAGATTGAGAGAAAGCAAAACATGACGACCTACGATCAGATTATAACTGACAGTGAATAGTCCCAAGGTTTTACTCTGTTTCAGCATCCAATAGAAAAAGAGAAGAAACAACGAGGAGCAACATCTCTCTCAGAATGAGCTAATGTCAGAATGAATTGTTTGAAATGGTTGCCATAGTGTTTTCTGTGCTATAGTTTTTCATGCATGTGGGAGTTGTCTTTCAAATTATTATTTTATTATGTTATATTATTTCTAAATAAGCTTCACAAGTATTGTCTGTAACTGACTATGTGCAGCCCTGAGAACATGTTTGATCTTCGTGAGAGAATCCAGCTGTTGTTCTGATAGTTGAGACCATTATCCACTGACTGAATCTGAAAACGTGATAAATAACAAACAGGATCCAGATGAAGATGGATTCAAAGATTAAAGCTGCAGAAATTGTCCTTGTGCAGAGAAACAATTGCAGCTAATGAGATGTTACTGTTGGAAGAGTTCATGCTTCTGGGAACTGCGAGAAAGTGGATAGTCAATAATTGACATGAAATTCAAATGAAGATAACCTCTGTCAGATGATGCACACTGTTTCAGCGTTTAGGATTAGTCCTGACGGCGCTGATGAATGGGTTGAAATGAATGAGTCATCGCCACTCTCCAAAAAGCAGAAGTATTATATTCAATTGAATCTCCTTTTCTGTGAGGCTGACTGAGCCAGCTGATGCTGACACAGCCACAGTGGAGGTTGGTGTGGACATTTGTCAAGTCATTGATGTGTTGCTGGTCAAGCTCTCAATGTGGAACTGATGTTGTTTTGATCTTTTAAAATAATGAATCCAAGGATGAAGTTCAAAATAACATTTGATCTTCAAGAAAAGCAAAAATAAATAGCTTATACAGGATCTCAGTTGGGATATAAAAGCGACCCTGTAAGTTACAGCATCCACCGTGTGTGAATGTGCTGTCCTTCCTCATCGATATAAGGCCCCAGACTTCACATTTCATTTCCGCACCATTTGTTCAAACAGTCTGCTGCTGCGAGTGAACACGACACTTGCACTTAGCGCTTGTGTGGCTGTTTCCTCTTGGATATTTGCTCGTGTTTGTGAACTCAGTGGTGTGTGGATTGTGTGCACAGCCGGCTGTCGGGAAGTTAGAATTGCCCCAGCAGCTGGAGACAGTCACAGTGACAAACCCTTGCTCACAGCAGAACCAGAACACATCATTAACCACCATCCTCCTCTACAGCGGCCGATACTCAGCTCCATGTTGCCATTAATAAAGTCCCTGGAGTCCTGAGGGGAAATCTATTTGTCAAGTTTTTCTCTCTTTCTATCTCTTTGTGATCCTCTTCTTTCCTTATTCCTCTGCTGCTTCACTTGCTACCTCTGTAAGCACTCTTTTCTGCTGCCTAATCAGATTCTTGACATGTTTCCTGCCGACTTAACATTCTCAAGCTTCGCTGAGTTGTCTCTTTACTGTGTATTACAGTTTTTATGTTGCTAAAGATTGGGAAGAGCACATGTTAAACAGGGATTATAGAGGTCTTGACATGACTCTGAGTAATAAAGATCTCTCTCTCCCTCTCTCTTCCCTGTAGATAAAACTGATGACGAGCTGGAGATGACGACGGTGTGTCACAGGCCGGAGGGTCTCGACCAACTGGAAGCTCAGACTAACTTCACCAAACAGGAGCTGCAGATCCTCTACCGTGGTTTCAAGAATGTAAACACACACTGTCTGACTTTATTATGAGATTACATTCATACAACATACAGTACATAGTACAGCAGAGGCTGGAAGGAATGTCTTCATAGTTTCGTATGTATTTGTTCATAAACTAAAGTACTGGACAAATTCAAACCTGGACCAAGATGAAAAGTCAAGGTCATAAAGATTTATCCTCAGAATGCGAACCATACAATCCATACAATGGTTGTTCAGACAAAAATGTCAACCCCATGGTGTTAAATGAAAAGTCAGGGGATCATCCAGGTACTGGGAACAGTTTATTTTCTGGAGAAGGTAAAATAAAAAGTCTAATTTGTGTCAGAATAACATTTAAATAAAAATATTTTAAACAAAAATTGGCATGGCTAAAATGCTACAATGTGTTTGTGACAGAAGATACTAACATATATATGATGAGAGTGAAGTGACCAGGACTACTTTTTCCTACAAACAGAAAAACATTAAAATCATTGAGTGGAGTGGCATTAATTCATCTTTTCTCCCTCAGGAATGTCCGAGCGGAGTGGTGAATGAGGAGACATTTAAACACATTTACGCACAGTTCTTCCCTCATGGAGGTAACGTGAAGAGTTGTTGAATCTCTTTCATCTCTCTGTGAGAAACAGAAAAGCTGACACTTTTATTTTCTTGTGTTTCAGATGCAAGCATGTACGCACATTATCTTTTCAATGCATTTGACACTACAAACAACGGCTCCATTAAGTTTAAGGTAAGAAAAAAAAAAAGAAAGAAAATAAATCCTTTGTTATTGCATTTCTGTTAAATATGAAATAATCTACTTCCATGTGTGATGATGCTTTCAGAATCTGATTCTGTTGCTCTGTCCTCCTCTGTCGCTGTCAGGACTTTGTGACGGGGTTGTCGATACTGCTGCGGGGGACTCTGAGGGAAAAGCTGGAGTGGACGTTTCACCTGTATGACATAAACAGAGATGGATACATAAACAGAGAGGTGAGACTGTCTCTGCGTTTCATGTCTCTGTGTCACTTTGTGTCTCAGCACAATGTGAATAAATCTTCTTTTCGTTCAGGAAATGACTGAGATCGTGAGAGCCATTTATGACATGATGGGAAAATACACCTACCCTGCGCTAAAGGGAGACGTCCCACAGCAGCATGTGGACGCCTTTTTTCAGGTGAGACATAAAGTTAATATGGAATGAACATAAGAGTCAAACATTTCTGTTTCCAGTGACAGGTGACTGATTTTAAAGCCATTGTGTTTACACAGCCAGTAACTTCTACTGTCTCTCATCACACTCGAGGAGCTTCCGAAATGAAGCTCTCAGCTTTATTGAGACACTTTGCACATGCAACACGTTCTCAGATCCGCCTGATTAAGTTTTATATCAATAGCAATCCCAGTGCCTGCGCTCCATAGCAACTTTAAGACTGTTATTCTCTCTATTGAGTTGTAGTTTCTACCGTTTCTGCATGTAAGGTTCACTGCAGGAGATCACAGTCAACACACTGACACCACAACAGAATAATTACATGCTTTAATCTAATTTTGGTGATTCCCATTATGTTTGTTTTTTTGCAGAAAATGGATAAAAACAAAGATGGAGTGGTGACTTTAGAGGAGTTTGTTATAGCCTGTCAGGAGGTATGTACTGTCCTGCATCTGTGATTGTCTTCATTTCTTCTGTAAAAACAAGGAAAACTTAATACTTGAATATATAACCATATGCTGCCAATATAAACACATACAGTATGTACAGTATAAAACATGACATACAAATGTAGTTACACTGAGAAATGTCCCCAGTATTCATACACATTTGTTGAATAAAAATAATTTTCACATTTAAACAAGGAAGTTGATCCTTGATTTTTGGGAACAGTCTGTGTCACAATATAATCTAGTAAGGTCAAAGGTTCACTTACCAGCTTTTGGAGCTGTCAGCAGCATCTCACTGTCTTCTTTAAGTGAATAGAGCATATTTCCATATTAGCCCTAATGAAGAATCTGAGAGGTGGTTGAAAGCACAGGAAACCATTAACATAACGAGTAACATGAAATAAGTAGTAACATTATGAAAATTAAATAATTATTAAAAATATGAAAAAAAAATGAAATCATTGTAGATATGGATATAGATTTAAAACATTTTTAAAGAGCAGAATATATTGTATTTATATTTGAAAGTCTAATTTATGCTCATATAGCAGGGCTGACTATACATATACATTACTATATTACTAGACATACAGTACAGTGCTAGTTAAATCCATCATTCTGCCATGTGTCTCGTCTCCTCTCTCCACAGGATGAAACCATGATGAGATCCATGCAGCTGTTTGAAAACGTGATGTAGGTCAAGCAGAAGTGATGGAGACAAATACGTGGAAATCAAGAGGCTTGGTGTGAGTGCGTGTGTGTGGATGCATATGTGCAATACATCCAGTCTCTCCTCCTCTCCCCATCGTATCCAGCTGTGGTCTGGGTACAACCAGAAACCCCCACAAAGACTTGAATGAAGGGACTGGACTGCAGTGATTTTACCTCCCTGTGGAGTTTGGCAGCGCCACACATTAAAAAGTGACTGACAGGCGAGCTGTGGACGTAGACACATCACTCTCAGTCCTGTCTTGAAGATTTGCCTGTTAGAGATAAACATGCTCCTGCATTACAAAGCTGCTCCCGACCAATGAAGAGCTATTAGTCCAACCAGTGGAACTATTTTTTCTTTCTTTCCTTCTGTTGTGCCAAACCATATTTGCATGCTTTCGCAAGAGCTTTTGATTTATCTCAAAACTTTGTCAGATTTGCTCTGGGAATTTGGTCATAATGACTTCTGTGTTTATCTCATGCAGCTTGTGGTTGACAGATTATGGCAGATTTCAAATATCAGGTATTGGTTAGACTTTTGCAGTGAGCCCTGTACTTTAGTGTTGACCTGGCTGTCGCTTGCCTGCTGAGTCGATCTGATGCTTAATGTTAAATGTCTGTCTGAAGCTTTCAGTAGAAAGTCAGACAATTTGAAACAGTACTTTTCATGCTCTGTCTATGTTGGAACTTAGGTTTTAGTGGAGAAAAAAAGAAAGAAGTGGATTCATTCTTTTATATTTTCACCTGTTGTTTTGTTTTGTGTGGTCAAGTCAGTGTGTTGTCAAAAATGTAAAAAACAGTATTAAACAGTAAAAAAACTTGCATACATTTTGGATTTCATGGTAAAAATGAAAATGTTTAATAAGAGACTACAGATCGTAAAGCCAATATCTTAATTTGCACAGGTGATCAAAGTGTGACTTGGAGGTGGCAACAATAATATCAATAAAATATTTATATGTAGCGGCCACACTGATCTCTCTCACAGGAAGAGTCAGGTGTTTGTTGCTCAGCTCAAAATGTTGATTAAATCCTGGTTTGAGAAAGTCTCTGATACTCGTGCAGGGAAACACCACTGACTGTCAGCTGTGACATGTGATGATCTGATGGGGATGAGGAGGATGATGATGATGATGATGATGACCGCTCCGTCTGTGGTGGTGACTTCCTCCAAACCAAATCTGTGATGTCACACTGACGTACCGCTGCAGACAGAACAGGGCGACTCCTGTGGATGTCTGCAGATGTTGTTCTGTGAGTCAGGGTGTGTTTGAAAGCACCACCATAATAGAAACTCACTGTGGCTATAGCCCACTAGTTTTAGCACTAAATTATTAATCACTGTTCTTTTTGGCATCCAGGGAGCAGTACATCTGTGTGACATCACAGCCTCGGGTCTCTGATATCTTGGTTTAGAGCAGTTGTTGTATCTCACAAACAGAAATTTAATTCTAAGCCATAATAATAAATATGTGAATTCTTAAACTGAGTGGTGTTTTACTTTACAGATGTTATTTCTGGTATGCAAGCGTGTGCGTGTGTGTGTGTGTGTGTGTGTGTGTGTGTGTGTGTGTGTGTGCGTGTGTGTCCATGAGTCTACAACTGTGTGCATTTATTCTGTGTGCTCTTAAGAAATGTATAATTTAACCAACATTTCTGACCCTGAGGGCTATCAATCATATCATAGGAAAAACTGAGGAGAAAAATAAAATGCAGATACTTCTACACAAGGCATTCTGTGAGGAGTCCCTGAATGGTTTGATGAGTGTATTTAGTCCCCAGATCTCAACCCATAAGGTCTTTCCTTTAGGTTTTTCCCTTTATCACCCCTCTGTACAGATTAACATCTATTCAAACAGAAAGCCTGCCAAGCACAACATTACTGTTTCCTACAAACAGGGATCCACACTGGATGAGGCAAGTAAGTTACTGAAATACCAGAACTCCTTCTGGTTAAAAATGTAATCCCATTAATAAAATATATAAACATGCTTTTCTGTGAGTACGAAGTAGAATGACTGTACAATGTTCATTATGTTATATAGTATCCAGGCTGGATGAATGCATGTTGTTTTTATTATTGTTTCATATACAACTATATAACAATATTATAGCAGAAGTCCAAAAAATAAAGACAATGAATTTCACTGCTCAACATAAAATCCCAATTTCCCAGACAAAAACATTCACTGGAGTAATCAGAGTAAATACTAGTTAAGAGGTCAACTCTGTACACCAGAATATTTCAGCATTTATCACATCAATTCTTAAATCATCATAAATGGATAAATATAAGATATAATTCAGGACCAAAGTTGGTTCAAATTATTCTCCCTCAGTGTTTCCTCCTTACTGACAAAAATTGTTTTAAAATAGCTTTAATCCCAGCAGTTAGTCAGTTATTTTAACACTCACACTCACACACACACACACACACACAAACACACACACACACACACACACACACACACACACACACACACACACACACACACACACACACACACATATATATATATAACTCGAGTGTGATATTGCAGTTCTAAGAGCGCCATCTTAGTTAAATAAGCAACAACAGATAATTTATTTGGCTACGCAAACACAAATAGTTCCGCAACTGGACTGGTATTGGTCTGTTGCTAAGCAACACATAAACATTTTCCTGACGTGCACAGTTCACACTAGCTTGCTACTTTACTCACGTTTCCTCAGGTGTGCTGAAGTATCCAGACTTCTTCCTTCACCCTCTTCTGACGACCAGACATCAATTAATTCAAATGTTATTTCCGGAAATATTTACATCTTTGTTTGTAACAATCCAAGCCACAGAACGACCGTTAAATGTAACGCTAATTAACGGTTAAGCGGAGTGATACATGTAGTTAAAAGTCCCATTGCTTACATTCTAAATCAGCACTCATGGAATGCCTCTCGTCCAATCAAATTACTTGGCTGGAGCAAATTGTTGTATAAATATAAATATACATAGGGCAAATTCTGCCATAATACGGGACCATTTATAAGACTGAACTAAGTAGGAGGGAGGAGTATGTAAATGTCTGGGGCTGTGCAGTGTGCTCCTCGCGCTGTGGATGGCGCTGTGACTCTTCAGCCTCTCGGTTCAGCGGAAACAGAAGAAGACAGGAGGCGGAGAGCCACGTTAGTTGGAGTAGTGGTTACTTGTAGTAGTTAGTCAGTCTTCCACCGCGGACAAGCAGCAGGTTGACAGCATATTGAACTCCAAAATGAACGGGATGGAAGAAGAAACAATGGCGCCGCAGACGTTTCTCTACGGTGAGATAACCTGTTTTAATGTGACTTGAGTCTGTCAGAGACCGTGTCCTCATGTGTGACTGAGGGAGCACAGCAGGAGAGACGGTATGGTACAGCTGCACCCGGTCCTCTAAAATGGCGGGTAATGTAGCTGTTGTCATATTAAAGCACGTGTAGTGTAACACCTTGTGTTAGTAGTAGTAGTGGTTCTGTAGCAGGAGGCTGAATGAGCTGTGGACGACGCGGCTTCAGAGCGGTCCGAGCTGGCCACACACGTGTTTGACTACCAACATGGCGGCGCCCGTGGTCTCTGAACACTTTTGATATTTAAGCTTTTTCTTTACACTTAACGTCACAAATGTTAAGTGCTTTTATTAACTTCACGTTTTGATTAACTTGCGAACTTTAGCTACAGTTTGATGTGATCGTTTTTTAGCTCGTCGGGGAAAAACTATCTCAACGTGGGTTGGAGCATGTGACTTCTCTGAATTGAAGAACACAGACCTTCTCTATTTCGTTTTACCTTTGACTCTACCCCAGCTTAGTGATGGGACCAGTACAGAACATCAGCGTTTCCAGTCATGATATATCAACATGGCCTGGTCTGGTTTCGCTGGATCATGTGTCCATCACTCAGTCCAGTATAACCTGTGTCTCAGACAGGATATAGATATTTATAGATATGACATATGTCTTTAAATCGTGTGCAACCACTATGCACTGCAAAGTACTCCTTACCTTAACCGAAATATCATGAAAAGTTATATTTGTAGCTGTAGAAGAAGCAGAGTACATTAAATTGGTTATTGCTCATTGTTGCAACAGTAAAATATTTGTCATTAATCATCTTCAGTTTGACAGCTGTGTTGATGAAGTTTCACCACATGAACATATTTTCAGTGAAATGATTTTAAAGATATTGCTCCTAATTGAGGGAATTCCCCAAGCCAAGGCAATGTGGAAATATTCATGTCAGTCTGTATGGCTCCCTCTTGTGTGCATTAGAAATAATGCACTTTACACTTGACTGCAGTGAAGTCCCTTTCTGCTTCTCACTTCTGTTTGTTTTTAATACAGGGATTAATCCATCACAGATTAAAATCTGTAGTGTTTATATGCTTCAGCTCTGACTTTGCTGTCGGAACACTTTGTGTTAGTTGATTAATTGTTATTAAAAATCTTTCTTACAGGGTGTGTGCTGGAGGCTGGAAAGGAGGTGGTGTTCAATCCCGAGGACGATGACTTTGAGCATCAGCTCGATCTAAGGATGGTGAGTACCTAGACATCAAGGTGTTCAAGGGGCTTTATGCGAAATGCCATAACAAATGTTTTTTATGATGATGAATGGATTGAAAGATCAGCATTTACATCAGTAATCAATAAATTGGTATGTAATTTTTCAAGCAAAAGAGCCAAATGTTCTCTGGTTCCAGATTCTCAAATTAGAGAATTTGCTGCTTTTCTCACGTCTTATAATTTGAATATTTTGGGGTCAAGGACAAAACAAGACGTCACCTTGTGCTCTAGAATATTGTGATGGACATTTTTCACTTTTTGCCTGTTTTATAGACCATTTGATTAATTGAGAAAATGATTGGAAGGTTACTCAATAATGATAATGGTTGTGAGTTGCTGCCCTAAAGACTTCTCACATGTTTAATGTGTATTCCTCTGCCCATCAGGTTAACAGATCTTTTTCCTATTGGCTATTAAACGTGTCCTATTAGCAGCCTCTGAGAAGAAATCCTCCAGTCCACACTTAATGAATAAGGCCACTTGTGACTGGATGCATTTTTCAAGAAGCTCAATAAAACTTAATCAAACTGAATTTTACACGGTGAAACCAAATTCATATTTGTAATTAAAGTAGCATTTTAAATGTAATTAGTATCTGCTTTTGTGGCAATAGTTTGATCAAAATAAGTTTGCTGTTTGATACCGCCAGGTCATGCTCACACTAAGTTGCTATCACACCCACACACACAAAAAACAGGATCTCATATGCTATGAACATATAGGTTATCGTGGTTACCAGATGATATCCCATAAATGGTTATATACAATATCTTAATTAATATAATAATTATAGTATGTATAATTAATAATATATTAAATTCCCTCTATCATGAGCCAAACAGGCCCAGTCTGAAAGTCCTCTGTAACATGACAGTGAGTTCTTGCCCTCCCCAGGCCTGTGTGGACCCCAGCACAAAAGACGAACTTCACATGGTGGAGGTGGAAGGACAAGACACCGAGGGTCAGAAAATCAAGGCAGCGCTGGTTTCTCTGAAGCCCTCTACCCTGCCAAGTGTGAGTGCACTACGTCCTGTGTGTGTGCTGATGTGTGAAGTGTCCTCAGTGTGTTGATGAAAACTCTTACCGTCTCTCTCTGTGTGATATGAACATGAACAGCCCAGGTGGAGGTGACTCACTCGTTTCAATGCTTGTTGCAGGTTTGTCTTGGTGGTTTCACCATCACCCCCCCAGCAGTGTTCCGTCTGAAGGCAGGTTCTGGTCCGATCCATATCAGTGGACAACACCTTGTCAGTGAGTATTTGTTACAGGAACGTCGGGGTGTTTGATGATGATGGGAAATAATGACATGCAGGTTAAGGAAAGGGAACGTCAGACTTTGTCATATCACTGCATATCTGCTCTTTTGATGGAGGAACCGCGACTAATGTTTTGAAATTGCTCTTAAAGTGATGGAAGCCGATCAGTCTTTTGACGAGGACGATGACGAAGATGATGAAGAAGAGGAGGACATCAACATCAAAACATCAAAGAAAAGAGCTGCTTCCTCTCCCGCCCTCAAGTCCCAAGTTTGTTTTAAATCCTCCGCAGTTTTAATTTCTAAATTTGTTAAAATTGAAATGATATAACCGACTTTTTACTTCCTTCCAGAAAAAAATGAGAATGGACATGGACGATGATGATGACGATGAGGATGATGAGGAGGATGAGTGAGTGTCACTACCTAAAAACTAACCAGTGATATTTATAAAACAATATAACATTAAAAATGTACTTTAAATAGTTTTATCATCAAAGTATATATTTTAAATATTAACAGCTGCACTCAGACAATTTCCAGCTGTTTTAGTGATTTTGAGGCCACGTTCAGGTCACTGTGCCGCTGCTCATCGTGATGTTAAAGGATAAGTTCAGTTTTTCCAGTGTTAAGTGACTGT